CTGGTGGCCACCGACAGAACTAGAGGTAATGGCTGGAAACTGAAGCATCAAAAGTTCCCCATGAACTTAAGGAAAAAAATCTTCACAGTGAGGGTGACAGAGCACTGGATCAGGCTGCCCAGAGAGGTTGTGGAGTCTCCTTCCCTGGAGATCTTCCAAACCTGCTTGGATGCCACCCTGTGCCACGTGCTCTAGGTGACCCTACTTGTGCAGGGGGGTTGGACTAGATGATCTCTAGAGGTCTCTTCCAACCTTAAGCATTCTATGATTCTATGATTTCCACTGATTCCAACAGAATCTTGTTAGCAAACATGTTTTGTTGACCTTTTTTTTTAACAGGTTTTGAAGCTTTTTAAATTGTTACACAGAACTCGACAAGAAGTTTTTAAAAATGATGCCAGAGCCCTCGAAGGTAAGATATTTTTGTTACATTTTTGTGATATTTTTGTAGACACTCACCTTGTCTCTCTCTCCTTTCATAATAGGTTGCCTGAATATTTGTTTGCTTCTTAGTAAGTTCCGTTGTTGTGGCTGTAAGACTTGATAGGACCTTTGATCTGTTGCCTGTTCAATTGTGGGGATTACATGTATATTGGTGGGTTTAAGGTAACCATTTTTCCGCTGTGTTTTGTTGTGAGAGTATGTGTTAAAGACAGACAATATCAAGTCATTAATGCTATTGTGCCCTATTAACAGATGCTGTAGTGCTGTTTTGAGGGAGGGCCTATTCATTCCTGTTTATGGAAAAAGAGACGGAAGGGAGAGAATTAATGTTCATTCTGTTTTTCTGATTTAACAAATAGTTTTGTGCATATTATGCAAGGGAGAAAGAACTTAGGGAGACTAGCGAAAACACATTTGAGGGATATGTGGTAGGCAAAAGAATATAGTCAGAAAGAAAATAATCCTTAAAATAATCTTCCTTTAAATGGCTGCCTGCCACTTTTGATAGGCAGTTATTGAGGAAACGTTTGTGTGTCCATATCCAGACATCCTATAAGTTGAAACAAAAATCTTATTGTTGTGTCGTATTTCTTAAATATCATATTGCAAAAATGTCTTTTTTTGGAAAACTGGGTGATCTTTCTAGTTTTTTTTTTTTTTTTTAGCTCCCCACTCCTCCTTTTCAGTCCAGTCAAAGCGTGCCTAACTGTGCTAAACATTCGACCTGATCCTCTTTATTGTAGTTGCTGTTCAAGGGGTCAGTATGCTTCTGCAGTAATAGAAAAGTAATAATGTCTGTTGCTAGTTATTTTTAAATCTCAGAAAACTAGATGACCAGTCATAGCATTATATATTATCACTGTACCAATGAAATCAAAATAAGATAGTATCATGTAAATTTCAGGGAAAACGTATATTAAAAAAAAAATTGGGGGCTGAATACACCCGGAAGGGGATGACTTTTTTTTTTTTTTTTTTTTAATGGAGAGGAGTAGGTAGCCAAAGGAACATAGACATAAACAAGGTTAATGGGGTGCTGAGAGCTTGTTAATGTGTTTTTTGAACCACTGCAAAGTAATGATAAAATTTTTATTCATGCTTTATTTCCTTGCATTATTTAGCTGCACGACAAAAGATAAACGAAGAATTCAAAAATAACCAAAATGAGACATCTGCAGAGAAAATAGATGAGGTACCTGCTTTTATTTTTTTCCACTTTTTTGCATGAAAATCCGTGCCTTTTTCTGAAAGAATGCAAACATTTATTGAGACATTGAGAGAGATAGGTGAGTTGTAAAAAAGTGCTTCCGAGGATCTTTATTTGCAAATATACTGATACCTTCATTGATATATATTTATACAGTGTGTCATACAATTTGGCGTGCACTAAAATACATAAGGAAAAAGCAACTTCTAGTACTTTGATGTGCTTATTCTGAGGTTCGTAATAAGGTAAGGGGAGGAAACTGTTTTATGCTGCTGTTTTTCACTAGATATTTTGTGGGATATTTTAGAAAGTCTGCTAGAATTGGGTTCCTCAAATTTATCTGTCTTTGGTATAAACAAGTATTCAAAATAAGGAGAAATTAAATAATATCCTCTGTTATTGGCAGAGATGTGAACCTATTTTGATTCCTCATCACAGGTTAGGCAATCTTATTTAGCGACAAGAGAACTGTTAATCGTTTGTGGCTTTACTATAGCATAGAGGTATTGATTCTACCACTGTTTTTTTGTTTTATTTTCCATGTAGTGAAAACATTATTTTGCAAAAGAAACAGAATATTTTATTTTGTCACTATTTAAGTTTCTTTTTCTCAGCTGCTATTTTAAAACTTTTTACTGAGTATTTTTTCCAAAACCTACCGAGGCCTAAAATTAAACTTCTGCATTTTAGATATTTTTGATTATTACCACCCATATTGAGGGACTGATGATTAAGTTATTTTCATTCATCCTTTTAAGGAACTATTTAGTTTCTGCTAAGTTTGAACGGTTATATATTGGAAAAGATGCCTACATCCGTTCATTGCAGAAATAAATCTGGATGTCATCCTAACCTCTGGACAGTAATAAAAATAGTGTGGATCATTTAGTTAGGATATTCTATTATTGTTTCTATCCTTGTTTCCAGGTCCCTATAGTAGTATTTCTGTGTTTGTATTCTGGACTTTTGATGTGTTAAACAGTATGCCTTTCAGTATTGATACACAGGAAAAATGCAACTTACTGAAATTTTTAAGTCTGTATTTGTTAGGAGTGGCAACCTATAAAATCTGCATATATTAATATGACTTTATATATTGATTGCATAGGTTAGTGGAAGAAGTTCTAGACTTGTGTCAGAACTACACAATTATAGAAAATCATATAATCTGTTATTGTTGTTGAACCTATATACATGCTGAAGTGAATATCGGCCACCCAAATGGGTTTTACTTCGCCAGAGTAGAATGCTGCAGTGTTTTCTGAGTGTGACCTTAAATATTTAGCTGTGAAGTGACCTAAGAAGAGTAGAATAACTGTCTGCAATATTAGCATGTGAAATGTGGCGGCTACATCTACCCTAGCTGTTTACTTTATCAGGAATGCACTTTATAAGTGGTCCAGGTTGTCTCCACTTATTTTCATTTGGCTTGTTTTGTGAAGCAGTCTTAAGAGCATGTGACTCTCTAAAATGAAGCTAAGGTGGAAATCAATCTTCAAGAGTCAGGTCAGTGCATTCTGGCTTGTAATGAGCATTCAGTAAGGGGAACTAGATCATACCTCTCTGAAGCACTTTAAAGGGGAGAAGTGGGGAAGGGCAGATAAAGATGTAGTGTAGCTCTATCAGCCCTAACTCATACACTGCAAATAATCATTCATGTTGGTACACACTGCTTCCCAATTACATATAGATATTGGCTCCCAGAGAGTCTCTTACTTGTGCAGTTTCTTTTATTTCTGACAGAAATATAGTGCAAACAAGTTTTAGGATTCTGCTGGTCACTTGACAAAATTGACAGGATGCCTCTGTTTATCCTGGCAAAGTGGGGAAGAATTTCAGAACTTTCACCACATAATCATCCCTCTCTTAATCTTTGGATTTGAGCATCTGGTTCCTGCACTGCTTTTGTGTGAAAGCTCTCTTGTCTGGTTTTGCTTCTCTTTTTGTCTCCTTATTATGAGAATAGGAATATTAAAACAGCCATATTACCCATCTCATTAGAGATAATCAGATGCTGCCTTTTAGTTGTTTACCAGTGCCTATAGTCATTGAAACAAATTGTTTGTTTTGGTAATTGTGTTTTACCTTATTCCTTTGCAGTTTTAACTGGATTAATAGGTCCTACACCTCAGCATGTTACCTACTAGATGACTTATGTCTTTCCTCTGGCACTGTATGTCAGGGTACTTCTTACCAACTTGTAAGGTACCCCAGGATCCTAGAATGAAGGTTATGTGTAGGTAGTAAATAGCTTGCTGAGTAGTAGAATTGTTTGCTTGGTGTTTGACTAGTCCTCTACTATGGAAAATGACTGCAAGGATAATTGCATATCACTTAAATTACTGTTCTTATTTTTCTTCCTTTACTAGCTCCTGAAAATCGCTGCAGATGTTGAAATGATTCTCAGAACTTCTGTTATCCAGGCAGTTCATACAGATTCTGACAAAATATGTGAGTAAAGATTGCATGTTAAAAAGATGTTGAAATTCAATAAATAAATATAAATTGAAAACTGAACAGGGGGACAGAAAGGGGAAATGTCTGCCTCTTGTCCATATATTTGCATGTATACTTAGTAATTTAAGCCTGTTGATTAATGTCAGTACATATGAGATGTAGAGATGCAAAGATACGATGTTTCTACATAAATTTTCTGAGTTACGGAGACTTGATAGAGAGGCAGAGACTGTCTTTTGAGTCATCACTGAGGAAAAGATGTTATAACTTGGTTATCGGTTTTGCCCTTCTGTAGGAGTGACAGCATCTGTTTGGCAAGACCACTTGCCTGTACAGTGTTTAGATACAGCCAATTTACGTGCTTCCCAATCCTGAGAAGAATTAAAAAATAAACCTAAAAAAAAAGCTATTCTATGGACAGTAAGTGTTAATTGTGTAACATTTGAAAGTTTTTAACATGAAGAATTTTGTCTTTCATCTAAAACCTTGTACTGACATTACAAATTCCAAATTACCTGACCAAGCAGTCTTGGAAAAATTGTAACATAATGATGGCCTGGATATAAAGCCTCTCAAACTGTAAAATTTTGGCTTCTAATGAGAAGTCCTTCTATAGCTTTTAGTCAAACTCAAGAGAAATATAAGGCTGTGCTTACCACTGCTTGCTGTAGGAGAAATCTTTCGGTGTATCCATTGTTTCCTTTCACTTCTGTTTGCTGCTGTCTTTATGAGTCCTTGCAGCTATATCCAATTCTAGATTCTCTAAACTACTAAATGTTTAACTTCAGAACGGCTTTACTGATTTAGTCCAAAGATGTTTACAGACCAGTGCTGTGGCTTCCACAGTGATCATAAGCAAATGGCAATAGAAGAGTAGGAACAGGCTTTATGCTTTACATAGCACCTTCACATCTTCCAGATATTTACGTTTTACCTATTAACGTTTATTGAGCCAGAGACTTATTTCTAAGTAGTCAGTGGATTCTCCCTGGTGTGCTTATTCCCTATTGCGCATGCTAATTCCTTGCATCCATTATGTCTTTGACAAAGAATTTACTATAGTTTGTGTGAAAATAACTTTCTGTAGTTTGATTTGAATATGACACCTACCTGTCAAACTATATCCATTTTGCCAAGCTGCTAATGGGTTTTTAGCCCCCTGTTGCCCTCCCTGCATTGTTTATTTTTTGCTTGTTTTGTTTTTCCCCACCTATGGGATAGTTTATATATGAAACAACAGCTGAATGCCTTCTACTGCCGTCTTCTGTACCATCTTCAATTCTACTATAACCTTTTTAAGATGAGGGCACCAGAGTTGCACACAGTCATCAAGCTATGAGGAAATCAGCAATTTGAACAATAGCACGATGATGCTTTCTCTTTTGTTCTCAATTATTTTCCTAGTAATTTCTAATACTAAAATTCTTTTTTTTTAGTTGGTGTTGATCACCATGCTTAGCTCTTTTTTTTTTTTTTAATTTACAAATTTATTTTGGATACATTGAACTCTCACCAGAATGATTCACACTTACTCTCACCAGTCAGGTTTGAGTCAGGTTACCATCACTTTTTGTGTGAAGGTAGTTTTTTTTGTTTTGTTTTGTTTTGTTTTTTTACCTGTTTACATTACATTTTTTTTAATATTTAACTTTGTCAGCCATTTTACTGGTTACTCTGTCTCTTAATATCCTTCTGCACTTCGTCACACTACGCCAGTCTCCTAAGGATGTTCTTTTTGGTAGTATCCTAGGCCATTGCTCACCTGCTTTTCCAGGTTGCTTACAAATATATAAAATAGCACAGATTCCAGCAAAAATGCCCACAGGACTCCACTTGTGATGTCTTTCCATTGGGAGAAGAGTTCACTTAGCCTTCGCTTCCCGCAGTTTAACCAGTGATTTATCCATGTAAGACTTTCTCTCATAATATGGCAGCTATATTCTTAAAAGTGTTTTGTGAGGGGCTATTGGAAATCCAAGCACACTGTGGTAGCTTTATGAGAGCTGTTCTGAGAACTCCAACAGAGACTGTAAGGCAGAACTTCTCCTGCAAAAGTCGCATGCGTTCCTATTCTAATACCAATTCATATTCTAACTCTGCCTGCGGGGATGGGGATGGAAAGCCTGAGCCCACTTGGAGTTGATCCTGGCAAGGAGCTTGAAGGTCAACAAGAAGGGCTTTTAGAGATACATCATCAGCAAAACGAAGGAATACAAGTCAAAATGTGAGAGTGCTGCTGAACGAGGCAGAAGCTTTCATAACAAAGGGCATGGAAGGGCCCAGGGCACTTGAATGACTTCTTTGCCTCCGTCTTTAGTGATAAAAATTACTTTCAGGAATTCCAATGCCTAGCACCAGTGGGAAAATCTGGAGCAAGGAAAATTTACTTATGGTAGTGGAGTATCAGATGTAGGGAACATTTAAACAAGTTAAAGACACAGCTGTGGGACCAGATGGGATGAACATAAAAGTGCCATGGAAGCTAGCCAATGTCATTGCAAAGACATTCTGAATTGTCCTTCAGAGCTTACGACAATCAGGAGAAGTTCCTGAGAACCAGAAAAATGAATATTTATCCTATTTTTAAGAAAGCCAGTCAGCCTCAGTTAAATCCTTTGGGAGGTGATAAAACCAGTACTCCTAGAAACAGTTTCCAAAAATATAAAGGACACTGGGGGCAGTTAAGCATGGATTTATGAAGGAGAAACCGTGTTTGACTGGTTGACCTATTCACCTTCTGCAGAGAAATGACGGGTTTGGTGGATGAGGGGAGAGCAGTGGGTGTTGTTTATCTTGAATCTTAGCAGAGCTTTCAACACTGTCTCCCATAATATCCTCATAGACAAACTGATATATATTACTGAAGTGAGAAATGCTTGAAGTCTTGATATGTGATCTTCTAGTAAAATCCTAGCAATGTTTAGAAAGGAATTCCAAAGCATCACAATAAAAGGTAAGAGTATAAAAATGAACAGCATAAAAATAGGTAGAATGGGTAGGAATTCCCATTACACTGTTACACTTTTCATTATAGCAGGACAACAGAGAGGTAGGTGAGGATTAGTTAATTCCTAAATGCCATTCTGCAAGAAGATTTTAGTTCATTTACAGCTTTCTTAACAATCTTGTTTCAAATACTGTCAGCACTTTAACTAGGTGAATCTAGCATTGCACTTACTAGAACTTAGTATCAGTGACTGTACAGAGTGTGCCGTTAGAAATTTTCTGGAAGCCAATTTAGAGTTTCTAGGGATCTGAGACAATAGTCTCCATGTCCTGTTAGTTGTTTATGCTGAATAACATCCTAAGTGTTGTATGTAAAATTGTGCCTGTAAATGGGTGTGGTTTCTACTGCTATTTCTTTTCACTGAATATCTTATCATGACATTTATATTTTTGCCTTCTTGTTAAAACGAAACTGTCTGAGCTTTTAGGTGTAGTAAATTGTACAGGTGATCAATTCCAGCACAGCCGTGGTTAAAGAGGTTGTAGCAAAATCATCCTTTCTTAATATTTGCACTCTGTAGTGACATATGGTGATAGTAAGCTACTTTTTTGGAGCATATGCTTGCATTAAATGAGAGACTTAGACTTGATTTTATAAAAAGCAGGTATTTTCATTTGCAGAAACAAGAATAAGTGAATTTTTAAAAGCTTTCAGTTGTCCAGGAGAGTTAATGGAAAATGAAAACATTCTTATATTTATGACTTTCTAGTTCAGAATTTTTAGAATGGAAAAAAACAGCAAGAACTAAGCTTGCTTCTAAATAAGCCACCCTTTAAGTTAATAAAAGTATAAATACTAAAAGCATTCCAAATTTTTCATAGTATATCTTAATGTCTAGATAAATTGCTCTTTTCAAATGAAAATAAGCTAAGTGAATTGACTTGAAAAAATATATTTTTCATAAGACTTCATTTTATGTACTGCGTGTTTATTTTATAAACTTTATAGATGAAGGTTCAGTTTGCTGTAATAGCAATTACATATGCTTGGATAAAATTCAGTGTTATAAAATATCTATACCTGAGCTATACTTAACCTAGTATAATGCCCTTATTTCATCCTTAATCAAAACAAAAATAATGATTAGTTGTCATCTTGCATGAAAGAAGAGAGGGGGAGGAGATGCTTGGCAAGCTATAAACATATCAGAAGCCTGTTGCTGCAGCTTTTTTCCCAGGCAAGTTACTACCAGAATCTTGTCATGCTTAAATTTTTCTATTATAGTGAACGATATGTAGCTTAGCTACCTGTTTTTGTTTGTTTGTTTTTTAACTTACATCTGTAAAATAACTATTTAAAACAGATACTGAAAAGAAAAGCCAAAACTAGTTTTGGGTAGTGAAGAAAAATACTGATAAAGGGGACATACTTCCTCTATCAAAAGAGATCAGTCCGTGCTGCCATGACTTTGGAAGCAGTGCAGAGGGCAATGTTACTTTTCTTAAAAAGAATCTGATACAAAGCAGCGTATAGTCATGTTGGATTCAGTAATAAATCTTAAAAAATTAATTAAGCGTATTTTTGCTTAACAGAATTTTGAGTTACAAACTTGTTTGTCCTTTAAATAACATTTTTTCCAAAATGTGTAATTCTGAGTCACATTATTTGCTAGAATTCAGATTTCTTGGTTCTATTTATTTTTACTTCATTTGCAAATAAAGCTGATAAAAGCAGAGCTTGCATGTTTGTGATATACCACATATGCAGTATGTCTAGATAATTTTGATGTTATATGTTGACTGTATATATTCAAAACTTAGCTTTGAAAAGCAAAGTGAAAAAGTCCCTTCTTTCAGTCTTTTGTCTATTTAGAGCTTCTGTCTTGTTTTGTTTGGTGGTGTGTTTTGATAGTTTAAAACCAGTTCCTTTTATTGCTTTCATGCACCTGTTGTATCTGTATAGATCAACATGATTTGTTGCAAATTCACAGATCTGTGTTTTCTCTGTAAAAAAAAAAAAAAAGCCAAATTAAATTTTTATTTAAAGCTCTTATGACCTTATTAAATGCATCAGTATCAATCCATAGATGGAAAAGAAATATATCCTCAAGGAAATAAGTTTTCCTTTTTAGAATATATGAGAAAATACTGTGCTTTGGACAGTAACAGGTTGTTATTCAGTGTTACAGATGCGCACACAGTGCTTTATGGGCTTACTGTACACTTAACAGCTGACCTAGTCTGCCCTGATCAAAGTGTAGCATTAGCTTTCAACCCTTGTGCTTTAAGTTGTTACTACTTGAGCAAATGTGATATGACACTGCTCCTTCCCTCTTTGCAGAAAGACCAAGCTGATGTCTTAAGAGCCAGATGGCCAGAACTTTGAGCCAGGGGCAGGTTAAAAGAGCGCATAATTAGACAAACCCCAGTATGCTAGTGTTTTTTGAAGAGTTAGTGCTGTTAACTCGCATGTGATTCTTTCATTTTCTGTTAGCCTTTGAAACAGGTGTAACTGTATTGATACTGTGGACCTTACATCAGATGGGGGGAAGAGAGATGTCAAATTTAATGCTTATTTTTAAAACTGTTTAATTAAACATAAGCTGACTCAGGATAGTCAGGTAAGTTAAAATAGCCATTCTCTCTCTTACTACAAGTTATTGCAACACTGCCTATTTTATGGATTCTTAGTTCATTAAAATATTTTCTGTGCTTTTAAAGGAAAAAAAAAGGTGAAGGAAATATTTTGACAAACAGAAGATAAATGCTAATATGGTTTTGCCTTAGAGATTAATTATGCTTCTCATTAGCTTACCAAATTAGCTTACTCTCATTTCAGTAACTTTATTTTTTTTATTTGCAAATGTTAAAACAACTTTATCATTTTATGTAATAATTTTCAGAAGATATTCTTACAGGTTTTTCTTTTTGCTTTTGCAGTGCTTGTGCCCAGGAAAGATCTCCTACAAGACAACACTCCTTACTTTGATAAACCAACAAAAAACCATAAATCTTGAAGAAAATATGTCCTTCTTACCCAAAGGTTAACATCCTATAATAAGATCTTTGAAAATCAGTAGCAGATATCTCTCTCAAAATGAATTTTGGGAAATTGTAAGTACTTTTAACAGGAAAATTCAAACACCATTTTTATTGTGCACTACTGTTAGGCAATTCTGAAGCATACTTTTCTTGTTTGGAAGATAATAATATTTCCATAGAAACTCAAGACTCATACTGTTTTCTTAAAAATGTGCTTCTAAACTTGAGCCAACAGTCGTTATTGTAAATTGGGAGAACTATCACACAGATTGTTTCATGGCAATTCCAAGGTTTCACAAAACAAAATGCAGATCTTAATTCTGCTAAAATAATTTATATGTAAGTTTGTCATCAGTGATATGCTGCTTTGAAATAATGAAAAACCATCTTGTGGTTTGCCATTTCAATTTATGCTTTACAGCAAAAACATTATTTCTGAAGTTGTCGTTAACTGTACTATAATATTCTGTGACGTTGGTGAGGGCTGTTTGAGATTCATCTGAATAAATTATTCAGATTTTGCAGATGGGAAGGCATGTGTAGTGTTTTTATTCTCCTGACACACATTTGAATGAGCAGGAATAGCAGGATTTGCATATTTCAGTGGCAGTGGAACAAAAGAACTCAGACATAATCTAAGCTAAGGATGTTGGTCTAGATCATATGGTTTATGTATTTAAGGTTTTTGGTTTGTCTTGTGATTACAGAGTGACTTCCTGAGGTGTTTATCAAAGAGGATAGTTGCTTTTGTAACTTATGTTGTATCAAGGGATCTGACTTATGTCAGAGAATTCATGGTGAGTTTATTTACTAAGCCTGTATCGATTGCATTTTTAATAGATAATCATTTCTTTCTCGCTGAATTAATCGTATGAATCTGTTCAAGTCAGTTTGCATTGCAACCAGATATAACTACAGTGAATACAGAGTCTTCTCTTTGTGAAATCAGTGTCAGGGACCATAATAGAATCTAAATAAATGTAATACCACACAAAAGTGAGATATTCAAATGCCGCCTTAAAACTCTCTTTCAGGTCCCAATGATCCTGTTTATTTCTGGTAAGCTCAGAAGGTACCAATATTCCATCTCCTTATAGTTTCCAACATGGTTTCACTGACTGGCTAGAAGTCCTTGCATCCATTTTTCTCGCATCCATTGAGTGTCAGTGGGACAAGTACACCTTTTCTTAAACTGCCATCTCTGCCTGTCGTGGGCAGTAATCCCTCCTTCATTTTGCAATTAATTCAGATGATCCACTGATATTGCCTCCATTATGTCTGAAAGACACAGGCTAATGGTTGGGATAGAACAAAGTGAGCATGTTTCTTACTGTTTGTTGTAATCTGGTGGCTACATTAGAAAAAACGTCTTGGTCCATCGTGGATGCCAGCCATCTGTGTCTTTTCCTTCCCTGAGAAAACAGACTGTATCTTGCTTCTCTTTTCCTATCTCTTTGCAGCCTTCACTTTTCTTGTCTTAAGGAATACGGGAGAAGAGAGGCAAGGGAGAGAGAATAGATGGTAGTTGCATTTGTAAAGAGAAAACAGAACATCAGCTGAAGCAAAGTTCCCCACAGCAGAAATTGTTAAACTGTGGCTGGGCAAGAGTGACATATTATACAATCATCAAGGTGTAGAGCCTACTGCATGCTAGAATTATGGGGGAATTTTTCTCTCAGAGATCCATTGCTTTAGGCTGTGGGAATAGGGTGCTAGTGACTTTATTTTTCAAACTGGCTTCCTAGTACTATTAGCAGATTTTCACCTTTATAGTAGTGATATAAAATAGTATTGTCCCATTACCATGCATGCAAAATATGTATTTAAAAACTTAATGTCAACAGTAGATGGCAGTCTTTTGCATAATATGAGGAAACTACATGTAGAGAAAATATTTTCACATGATTCTTATTTTGTTCTTCTGCTGTCATGTGTTTTGGGGTTTCATTTTTAATGAGTTAACACATGAATAGGAAGATGGTGCAGAAATGGCAGCTTACAAGCTCAGACTTGGAATTCCGCAAGTGTTTTTGTGTTCCATTTTGCTTATGCTTTGAATACTCTTAATAAAAATATGGAATGACTCATCTTTATAGTGCATGTAACTACCAAAAGTGGTGACATATTATACAATCATCAAGGTGTAGAGCCTACTGCATGCTAGAATTATGGGGGAATTTTTCTCTCAGAGATCCATTGCTTTAGGCTGTGGGAATAGGGTGCTAGTGACTTTATTTTTCAAACTGGCTTCCTAGTACTATTAGCAGATTTTCACCTTTATAGTAGTGATATAAAATAGTATTGTCCCATTACCATGCATGCAAAATATGTATTTAAAAACTTAATGTCAACAGTAGATGGCAGTCTTTTGCATAATATGAGGAAACTACATGTAGAGAAAATATTTTCACATGATTCTTATTTTGTTCTTCTGCTGTCATGTGTTTTGGGGTTTCATTTTTAATGAGTTAACACATGAATAGGAAGATGGTGCAGAAATGGCAGCTTACAAGCTCAGACTTGGAATTCCGCAAGTGTTTTTGTGTTCCATTTTGCTTATGCTTTGAATACTCTTAATAAAAATATGGAATGACTCATCTTTATAGTGCATGTAACTACCAAAAGTGAAGGACATGATTAAACAGACTGATAGGGTTTAATAGCCACAGGAATAAATTCTCCTTGCTCTGCTGTGCAGAATGTTTATAATCCTGCTGCATTAACATTCCAAGTTCAAACTGTCCTTGTGCATTCCTGGGCATCAGACACTAACTGGGCTTTTAAATGCTGAGATGAGGAAAACCAAGCTGATACGCAAAAGATTCCTAATGTAAGGGACTGGCGAACCTATTGGTTGCTCTTGTTCCAGAGTGATGCCAAATGAGGTCTGAGGAGTATCCAGACATGAGATAGGGAATTGAGCCTAAAAGTATCTGAAAGTTATAGGCCCTGTCTGACCCAGCAGTTGTTTGCTTTCTCACACTGATCTTTCCAACAATGAAAGAATCACAAACCTACTTAATAAGCAGCTAGTAATTAAAGGCTTCTCTGTGCTAGTTAGTGCTAGTGGTTATTCCTCATCCTGTGATTTCCTGCTTACCTGTTAGTTCACGTTCCAGTATCTAATCCTCCCCCACAGCTTCCATTTCCATTTTCATTTAATTCCAACTATGAGTCTGTTCTTGATGCTGCTGGCTTTGTCATATATTTGGTTTATAGTTTTTGTTCTTTTTTAAGAAAGGAAGTTTTGTTGCACTCCTTCATCAAAGTTTAAAGTATAGCTGATACTTTGTCTAAAACATTTCACTTAATGACATAGGAGAGGAGAAGATAGATTCTTTTTAAGAAAAACTTAGATTTGATTGGTTTACAATAACATGATTCAACCATGTTACACTTTTTCAGGTTTACTGGAGCTTCAGAGTTTTAGAGAAGATCTGTGTTTCTTCCTTTCAGAATATGCATCATCAGTTTTATAAAATAAGATATAAAGGTTCACGCTTCTTTTCAAACAAAAATAAAACCCATTTAGGGATCTTATGCAGTCAGACAGGAAATCTGTTGTTAAAAAGAGGTAATTTTCCACTTAATAGTTCAGCTACTGTAGCAAAGAGGTTAAAATAGTCTGCTCAGGTGGATATTTACTGAAGTCCCAGGGGGCTGCTGGGACCTGTACAGCTATATCAGCCGTGCTACTCAGAAGTACCTGAGCTAGCTGGTCTAAAGGTTAGTTTCAGTAGGGCTACACAAGGTAGTCACATGCATATGCAGTGGTTGATAGAACAAATGTCACCTCGGAGATTACACGGTAAAAAAATCTAAGCACTTCAGCTTTAACATAGCAACAGAGACATCTCTGGTAAACTAGAAACTTCTGCTCTGGCATTCTTTGTCACGAAAATTTGGCTTTGTGTGCGTTATAACTTAAATGGAAACATTAATTACAGCTTAACAGTATCTCATGTTTAAATATTGTGGGAGGTTTTTTGTTGTTGTTACTGTTCTAAACATCTTTTTCTTCACACCTTTAATATTTTCAAGTATGGGATTTCCTACCTTTTTCCTCTATGAGCACTAACTCAGCATAGGGATCAAACACAGTATGTTGGCTATAGTTTGGTGCTCATAAAGCATACAGATGACAGATCTAATCCGTGAATTGATCTGTTTTCTATGCATAGGATTGGAGTTGGAAGCCTTTCTGAAGAAATAAGGTGGGTTTTCTAATTTAGCAAGTGAATCCTGTGCTTTATTCTATTGCCATGCACTTCAGTAAGGAAGTATTTAGTGGCTATTTTTACAGGCATTGCAATCCTACACCACAACAGGACCCCACAAGGAGTTGATTTAGAAGTAGCATTAGGAATTTAATCTGGAAAAGGGTCTTGCACCTCTCTTGAGGTGCTGAGGCGTTTTCAAGTGCATTTTGGGGTAATATTAGATCAACGAATGAGTGACTAAGTCAAGTGTCTAGATTCATGCAAGCCAAACATGCTGAACTGAATGCTGCGTAGCTGCATCAGTGCTGTTTGTGTCATGCTGGACCTGTAAATAAAGTAATTTAGCTTCAAGTACTGGCAGTTCTTTACACTTCCTTTACAAAAGGGAAAAAAATACTGACAATTGAAAACTAAAAATAAAGGCTGACCAACTTACAGGAAGAGCTGAGTCCTAGTACTTCCCTGCCTTAGTTAACTTTTTTCCAAAGTACTTGCACTGGAAAATGCAGTTAATCCTAAATTCTGGAGTTGTAAGCTGTGAAGTCTTTGATATTTAGTTGTATTTGGAATTAAGCTCAAATTGCAAAATCAATTCAGCGTTAAGATTATTTTACAGCTACAAAGGTCTGATGTTTTGGTAACTTTAGTGGAAATCCAGCTGTCTTTGCAGGTAAAAGATATGTTGTTTGAATGAGGTTTGCTAAATCAGTAGTATAGATACCCAGCTCTCTAATTCTGGTGAAGGTTCATTCACCTTTTTGTAAAGTATAGCTTTCTGTGCATTCG